GGGGGGGGGGACAACAAGTATTGAAGTAAGGTACCACGGAATTCCAGTACTTAACTAAACAGAGACAATTGAAAAATAGTGAAAACCATACCAGCTTGCAATGGTTCTTATATTTGGCAGAATCACTTATCATTATTCATCAAATTACTAGTATCAAATATAGAAATAAATGGAATACTTACCCATGGGGTTCATTAAATGTGTTCTTTTTTTATATCCCAGTTGAGGGAGGTACTGAAAGTAAAATGGAGAATAAGCACCAATAAAAACAGTGAAATATAGTTTTTAGGCAGACTGACCCAAGGCTGACATCATGTCAAATGTTCACTCAAATCTCTTGAAAATATGAAGTGAAATATGGCAACATTATCCCTCAGAAAAACAATGAAACAAAGCAAAAAGAAAAATTGAACAGCAGTGTGAAATAACACCTGTAGACATTTGTAAAATTATACCTTTTCAGTAAATGTAAAAATCTTTCTTTGGTCTACGCCTCCAAACTGTGCATCTACTCCCAAATACTCTTCATCCAAGCCCTGTAATAAAGAAAAAGGGAATTTTTTTAAAAGGAACACAGATATCAAAACATGCATCTGACAGCCGAAAAACACTTGAAGCAGGTAAATAAAATTGCTGCTATGTAGCAAGACCATAATGATATAAAACTGTCCCCGTCTACATTTACCTATTTTCTGCTTATAAATGTAATTTGCACATTTGCCCACAGGCATCTTATACCTTGAAATTGCCCTTACTCCACCCTGGTCAAATCCTGTAACTAAACAAATTTTACTAACCTAAATTCAATTTTATTGGAATTTGGCATGAGGAAAGTGCTAAAAGTTTTTCTTTTTTTTTTTTTTTTTTTTGCTGTAAGTTCCTCATTTATATTTCATTGTTTTAAATCACTATTTCACGAACATTATGTAAATTGGCCATTACTCATGTCAGTAATTTTTTCAAAAGATCATTGGGTCACTTAAAATAAAAGTTTTAACACCTATTAACAAATGGCAATTTCAGTTTTGTGTGCAAGATTTACCTCAGTTTAATGGCAAATGATCTTGTACGCAAAATAAAAATAACTGCATTATCATTGCATGTTAAACAAAAATAACTGCATTATCATTGCAAGGCAATATCAATTACTGACATCTTTAATTTATTTATTTGCATGATATATCTAGTATAAAAGATAGCAAAACAAATCATAAATTTCATCAAACTAAACTGGAGTCAACAGTGCTCTAGATCTATTCCTTCTCTGGCATCATCTTAATTCAAAAAAAAAAAAAAAATAGGCCAAACACCTTCGAAACCCCCCCCCCCCCCCCCCACTAAAAAAAAAAAAAAAATTACATCAAATCCGCAATAATCTCAAGAATGAAAATCCTCAACCAAAAAAAAAAAAAAAAATTCTCTTCTGAACTAAAAAATGTAGCATTTTGGTGCTTTTATCGTTTAGAATAGAGCTATTTAGGTAGGTTACTTTTCAACTGTGTTGCTAACACTCAGTAAGAATGTTCTCATTTGAAGAATTTCTTACTTAAAAATACAGGATCAGCAAAATTCACAATTTTCCCCAGTAGAAATGATTGAGCCATTACCGTAAATATGTTCCAAATTGATGATACGGAATTTCCAATTTGTATGCATGTATGTATTATTATTATTCATTTGTATCAATAATGCTATTAATGTACGTGCAACAATAAGTAAAATCAAGTTAACTCAGGCACTATTTTGTTTTACTCGGATATTTTTGTTTAGGCCGATTAAAATAAATGTTAGATGGGGTCTAAAGACCATATTTTCATTGAGATAGAGCTTAGAGCAAGGACCTGTGCATGCTATAGTCCACAAGCACATATCATGACAAATGTGAACATATTTTGTAGGCCATGATATTGAGTGTACTAACTATGAGAACATGACTGTCTTCTTTTGAAGTTGATGTTTTAAAAACTTTTTCAAGTCCTGGACAATACATTCCCCAAAACAACTGCTTACTCCAATATACATTCTGATTTAGTAAGAAAGCTAAAGCATTAAATCAAATTAAAAAAAAAAACATTAATTGTCAAAGAGGGAATAAAAACTTCACTTTTTTTGCAAGTCAAACATTATTTTGCAAGCCAGCATGAGGCCAGTGTCCAGGTGTTAAATGACCTACCTGTAGTCCTGGGTAGAGTAGGCCACTGAGGAGAGGGTGCTCAACCTGCTTCACCACCTCAGCTCCCGCTTTCTTGGCATCATGCTCTGTGACCAGAGAGGTCAATTTGTAAACGTCAAGTGTATATTCCCTATTGAAGGCAAATTATAACACAATCACTGTTATGATCACACGAGCAGATCTCACCGTAACACCAATTGGGACTACTGTATACAGTGTTAAAGCCACATATGAATGCACAAATTACCATCAGCAAAAGTCTTTTTATAAATATGAAGTACAGATAATGAATCAATTCTTTATATCCAAAAGATCCAAAACCTTGTCACATTCCCGATTGGATTCAGAATAACTTACTTGCTTAACTGATACTCTGTCCCCTTGACAAACTTGAGGTTGTCCAATGGCACTCCTATGGACTTTAGCATTGCTTTGATGGCAGCCTCATAATATTTAGTCCTAAGTTGTAGTAAATCCCAGGGGGCCTTCATGTTGTCCAAGTATGCATGGAGGTCAGCAAATAGTATTGTTACCTTGAGAAATATAAAGGAATAGACATTTGTCATTTTTTGAAGATACTGCCTGAATCAATATTCTAATGGAAATAGATATCAAATAGTATCTACTGATGAAAAACCTGTTCACACAAAGTTACCTTCATTGCTGACAAAAAAAGTTGAAATCAATAATAAATTCATTTAACATCCCCCTCCAAATGTATTATGAAGTGACCAGTGGCTTAATACCCACCTCACATCCAGCCTTGAGGAAATCAGCAATCTTAGACATAGGTACAAAGTAGGCAATATGGGGCTTTCCTGTTGTAGCTGTGCCCCAGTAAACTTTTAAGTTTCTTTCCTTCAGTACATCCCGCATTCGATCTTCTCCAAGGATTTCCTGTATTTCAAACATAAGACTTGGTTAAAATACCATCTTTATACTAGGAAATCTTATTTTTTTCAGAAAACCAAAAGGGAAAAAAACAGAAAGACCGATTTTTATTTTTTTACAATTGTATTCAACATTTGGTTAATTTAAAGTACTTAGATACATGATTAATTTCAAAAGGAAGAGTTTCAAAACATTTTCACTTTGGTTATGAGACCTTAATAATATTCATGCAGTATTTATTTACTTGTAAATTCCTTGAAATGAGTTCCACTTTGTCCTCCAAGGACAATGTCCCATTTTCCATGGTGGAATGATATGTATAGCTGCAAAGAAAAATCAAAACTATTCACAAATTCATATTCAATATATAGCAAATTTAGAAGTACAGAGACATTGCATTCATAATGGCACTTCACAGTGAAGGGAGAAGATTTAAGTATACTTTTATTATGATAAATGCACATATGCTTGACTGTCTAGACTTAATGACAAACCACACCTGAAAGAGAGTGGACTTGAAATGCCCACTAAAGAATAACATAAAGGTCAAATAAACCTCTTCTCACAGTTTACTGTCATCCTATGTATATTCAGTTTTTCAATACATCTTTTCAAATAATATATATTGTAACAGAAATAAACATTCTTAGTTAACTTCAACACCTTTCCTTATTGCCTGACAGCTTAATTTTGGTTTTATCTTGGCCCTTCTGGTTGTTTATAAGGAAGTTCCATCTTGGCTGGCATTAATTAAATATACTGATCCCAAATCTATGAAGTTCCCATAGCCCAATTGTTTTTCACTGATTTAAGTTGGGGCAGCACAAAGTATGTGTCATGCTGTGCTCAAGACTTGGTCCAAGAGTTTTTGTTTGTGGGTACTAGTACTGACTAAGAATTGCTCTTCTGTATAGGCTTCAGGTAATTGCAAACCCCCCTATTAAGGGAAGTAAGTGAATTTGATGACAAAGCTGATTCTTAACAGAACTGAAACTTTATAAATACAATTAAGTTATGGAATATGGATATTTGTGGATGTTAATCACAACACATAAGATGACCCCATTTATAAAACTACTTTATCCTTCTCAGAGATTGTTGCTCCACCCATCCCTATTATATGATTCAATGTTTTAGTCTATTTTTAATCTGGTGATTTAGTTCTAAATGACTGCCCATTCATTTAAAATGCAATTTCCTCCTAAAAAATTACCCTACAAGCTACCCTTATGCCTGACTTATCTCTTGACTGGAACTTTTCACGCCCACAGTGATACATTAATTCTATATTAACACGCCCAACTGTATTTCAGAATAATATACACATTCTAAGGAGATTCTTTAGCCTGATAGTGAACACCTTAAATCATAGGCATCAACAGTTGCTTAACATGTAACGATATACTAATATGTCCACTGATGAAGATTTTCCATAGATATGAAATTTCAGGGACAATTTAATTTTAAAAATATCCCATTTGTTTTCTATGTTGTAGTACAGGTCTAGTATATTCCACAATTAAAGTCTAGGTCGAAGGCATGGGCCAATAACTTCCAATTTCACAGTATCACAATGTCCAAATTAACTGGTTCTTTGGTGCATTACATTTTATTCTTCATTCACATGCAGTCATGGACATAACACAGTGATAACGACTTGGTAAGTCCTATACTACAATGATTATCCCTGCTACATCTTAAGCTCATGATCATGTCCCACATGCAAAGGGTCAGTTAGTACATGTTTACTACAAAGAATATTTTCATATGAGCCTTCAAATAATATATTTAAAATAAAAAGTGCATGTACTACAACATAAAAAATGGGCTAAGGGGATCATTGTACGAAGTTTGACTAGTGCTTTCCAATTTGCTTCCTGGATAGTGCCATTAACCTCAAAAATGAAGTTATTATATTAGATATGAGATGCTTATCTATCATTCTCGACTGAATACGATTATGTGGATGATTTTTAACATGCTTATGAATATTCTAAATGCCATACATCAAAATGCTTCAGACAATTGAATAAGTCAGGTATTTAGAAGTTAGTCACCTTGCTGAAGGTGGACTAAAAATGCACCCAGGATTCTGAACATAAAACATTCCAAACTTTTTGCGAAATAAGATATCTTAAAAGACTTTATTTCTAATTTACAGGAGAGAAACTAAAAGGTCAGAATTTCACAATTGTTGCAGTGTGTAGTATCTCACATATATATTATGGCAATGATCATGATACTAATAATATCAAAAGGTAATATAAAGTCCACCAGGCTTTAATTCAACAATCAATGGTAATTTATATTTGTTACAGCTGTTAAAGAGCATGAATACAGACAAACTGATATACTGTAGGTTGCTGTGTAAGGGATTTTGAATTTTTACCAACAGAGCTATGCACAGACTTCTGTCTGACTACCTTTGAAAAGCTGCTATATCTCTGGTAATTGTGGTCCACCTTAACCCTAATACTGTACATGCAATGATTTGACAACTGTTCATTCTTTGTTTCTTTAATCATCTTTATTGGTTGATAACTCTAAAAAAAACTAAAACTTTTAAACGTCAAACTGACTTCAAGTATCAATTCCTTCAAATATCTGGAAAAAAAAGTACAGCATCTCACTCTAGAGTCTTATCATAATTTTACCACTAATTTAATTCCATTTTTGATTTTCATAGGCCTTACTTCAGTTTCACATTCTGACCTTCCAAACAAACTACTCAAATGTATATATGTCGACAGATTTTTTGTATAATGGTTGTTTGGGGTGATATAATAAGCTCTGTTTTACGCGGATATTAGAATCATCAACCAATCAAGGTGACAGCCGAGAGCTCTCGTGTGTCAACAGTCAATAAATCAACTGTATGGAATCACAAATTACCGGGTAGTTTCCATTCGTGTTCAATTCTACATCTTAGTGAAAATGAAAATCGCAATTTTTGTAAGCATTCCCAGTTAACGTAATTAGTCTACAGATGTAGATCAGATCAGTTACAATCATCTATAAGGCCAAACGTGACATGTCATAAACAAAGAATGTAGCGGCATGACGGACAAGTTCACAACACTCCCGATTTGTTAAACGATAACTAAGTGGATCGTAAAGACATAATAGCAATACGACACAAGTATTCCTCTATATTAGACATGTGATACACATTCCTAAACACTCACCTGATATGGGTCTAGTTTTTCGTAACTTGTTCCCGTTTTTGAAAGAAAATCTGCTTAGGGACAGCCTTGCAATGTGATTACAGCAGACTACTTCATATCGAGACCGGAAATTGGCANAACAACAAGTATTGAAGTAAGGTACAACGGAATTCCAGTACTTAACTAAACAGAGACAATTGAAAAATAGTGAAAACCATACCAGCTTGCAATGGTTCTTATATTTGGCAGAATCACTTATCATTATTCATCAAATTATTAGTATCAAATATAGAAATAAATGGAAAACTTACCCATGGGGTTCATTAAATGTGTTCTTTTTTTATATCCCAGTTGAGGGAGGTACTGAAAGTAAAATGGAGAATAAGCACCAATAAAAAAAGTGAAATATAGTTTTTAGGCAGACTGACATCATGTCAAATGTTCACTCAAATCTCTTGAAAATATGAAGTGAAATATGGCAACATTATCCCTCAGAAAAACAATGAAACAAAGCAAAACGAAAAATTGAACAGCAGTGTGAAATAACACCTGTAGACATTTGTAAAATTATACCTTTTCAGTAAATGTAAAAATCTTTCTTTGGTCTACGCCTCCAAACTGTGCATCTACTCCCAAATACTCTTCATCCAAGCCCTGTAATAAAGTAAAAGGGAATTTTTTAAAAGGAACGCAGATATCAAAACATGCATCTGACAGCCAAAAAACACTTGAAGCAGGTAAATAAAATTGCTGCTATGTAGCAAGACCATAATGATATAAAATTGTCCCCGTCTACATTTACCTATTTTATGCTTATAACTTGCATATTTGCCCACAAACATCTTATACCTTGATATTGCCCTCACTCCACCCTGGATTAAGGTTTCAACACCCTTTTAACAAATGGCAATTTTAGTTTTGTGTGCAAGATTTTCCTCAGTTTAACTGCAAATGATATTGTACGCAAAAAAAAAATAAATAAATAAATAACTGCACTATCATTGCATGTTAAACAAAAATAACTGCATTATCATTGCAAGGCAATATCAATTACTGACATCTTTAAATTATTTACTTGCATGATATATCTAGCATAAAAGATAACAAAACAAATCATAAATTTCATCAAACTAAACTGGAGTCAACAGTGCTCTAGATCTGTTCCTTCTCTGGCTTCATCTTAATTCAGAAAAAATAGGTCAAACATCTTCAAACTGCCCCCCCCCCCCCAAAAAAAAAAAATTCCATCAAATCAGCAATAATCTCAAGAATGAAAATACTCAACCCAAAAAATTCTCTTTTGAACTAAAAAGACAGTGTGTACGTGAAGTCTTAGCAATGCCAACAGTGCAAATCGACAATATTATGGTAATGGCGCAACTATTTAACCCAGGAAAAATTATCAATTTTTCAGATACAAATTTTTGAAATCATTAAAAATACATTGTTAAGTAGCATTTTGGTGCTTTTATTGTTTAGAATAGAACTATTAGGTACTTTAATTTTCAACCGTGTTGCTAACACTCAGTAAGAATGTTCTCATTTTAAGAATTTCTTACTTAAAAAATACAGTATCTGCAAAATTCACAATTTTCCCCGGTAGAAATGATTGAGCCATTACCGTAAACGTGCTCCAAATTAATCAGAGGGAAATTCCAATCTTTATGTATGTATGTATTATTATTATTATTCATTTGTATCAATAATGCTATTAATGTACATGCGACAATAGGTAAAATCAAGTTAACTCAGGCATTACTTTGTTTTACCCAGATATTTTTGTTAAGGCCGATTAAAATAAATGTTAGATGGGGTCTAAAGACCAACCTTTCATTGAGATAGATCTCAGAACAAGGAGCTGTGCCTGCTATATATGGGCCACAAGCACATCATGACAAATGTGAACATTTTTTGTAGGCCATGATATTGAGTGAACACATTCTGTGCTAACTATGAGAACATGACTGTCTTCTTTTGAATGCAAAGTTGATGTTTTAAAAACCTTTTAAAGTCCTGGACAATACAGCTACAGCATTAAATCAAATAAAAAAAACATTAATTGTCAAAGAGGGAATAAATACTTCACTTTTTTTGCAAGTCAAACATTATTTTGCAAGCCGGCATGAGGCCAGTGTCCAGGTGTTAAGTGACCTACCTGTAGTCCTGGGTAGAGTAGGCCACTGAGGAGAGGGTGCTCTACCTGCTTCACCACCTCAGCTCCAGCTTTCTTGGCATCATGCTCTGTGACCAGGGAGGTCAATTTGTAAACGTCAAGTGTATATTCCCTATTGAAGGCAAATTATAACACAATCACTGTTATGATCACACGAGCAGATCTCACCGTAACACCAATTGGGACTACTGTATACAGTGTTAAAGCCACATATGAATGGCACAAATTACCATCAGCAAAAGTCTTTTTATAAATATTAAGTACAGATAATGAATCAATTCTTTATATCCAAAAGATCCAAAACCTTGTCACATTCCCGATTGGATTCAGAATAACTTACTTGCTTAACTGATACTCTGTCCCCTTGACAAACTTGAGGTTGTCCAATGGCACTCCTATGGACTTCAGCATTGCTTTGATGGCAGCCTCATAATATTTAGTCCTAAGTTGTAGTAAATCCCAGGGGGCCTTCATGTTGTCCAAGTAAGCATGTAGGTCAGCAAATAGTATTGTTACCTTGAGAAATATAAGGGAATAGACATTTGTCATTTTTTGAAGATACTGCCTGAATCAATATTCTAATGGAAATAGATATCAAATAGTATCTATAGTATGTTCACACAAAGTTACCTTCATTGCTGACAAAAAAAGTTGAAATCAAAACATAAATTCATTTTACATCCCCCTCCAAATGTATTATGAAGTGACCAGTGGCTTAATACCCACCTCACATCCAGCCTTGAGGAAATCAGCAATCTTAGACATAGGTACAAAGTAGGCAATATGGGGCTTTCCTGTTGTAGCTGTGCCCCAGTAAACTTTTAAGTTTCTTTCCTTCAGTACATCCCGCATTCGATCTTCTCCAAGGATTTCCTGTATTTCAAACATTAGACTTGGTTAAAATACCATCTTTATACTAGGAAATCTTTTTTTTTTTTCAGAAAACCAAAAGGGAAAAAAAACAGAAAGACCGATTTTGATTTTTTTTACAATTGTATTCAACATTTGGTTAATTTAAAGCACTTAGATACATGATTAATTTCAAAAGGAAGAGTTTCAAAACATTTTCACTTTGGTTATGAGACCTTAATAATATTCATGCAGTATTTATTTACTTGTAAATTCCTTGAAATGAGTTCCACTTTGTCCTCCAAGGACAATGTCCCATTTTCCATGGTGGAATGATTTGTATAGCTACAAAGAAAAATCAAAACTATTCACAAAATTCATATTCAATATATAGCAAATTTTAGAAGTACAGATACATTACATTCATAATGGCACTTCCCCGTGAAGGGAGAAGATTTAAGTATACTTTTATTATAAATGCTCATTTGCTTGACTGTCTAGACTTAATGACAAACCACACCTCAAAGAGATTGCCTTAATGAGGAGTGGACTTGAAATGCCCACTAAAGAATAACATAAAGGTCAAATAAACCTCTTCTCAGTTTATAAGGAAGTTCCATCTTGGCTGGCATTAATAAATATATTGATCCCAAATCTATGAAGTTCCCATAGCCCAATTGTTTTTCACTGATTTAAGTTGGGGCAGCACAAGGTGTGTGTCATGCTGTGCTCAAGACTTGGTCCAAGAGTTTTTGTTTGTGGGTACTAGTACTGACTAAGAGTTGCTCTTCTGTATAGGCATCAGGTAATTATTGCAAACCCCCCTATTAAGGGAAGTAAGTGAATTTGATGACAACGCTGATTCTTAACAGAACTGAAACTTTATAAATACAATTAAGTTATGGAATATGGATATTTGTGGATGTTAATCACAACACATAAGATGACCCCATTTATAAAACTACTTTATCCTTCTCAGAGATTGTTGCTCCACCCATCCCTATTATATGATTCAATGTTTTAGTCTATTTTTAATATGGTGATTTAGTTCTAAATGACTGCCCATTCATTTAAAATGCAATTTCCTCCTAAAAAATTACCCTACAAGCTACCCTTATGCCTGACTTATCTCTTGACTGGAACTTTTCACGCCCACAGTGATACATTAATTCTATATTAACACGCCCAACTGTATTTCAGAATAATATACACATTCTAAGGAGATTCTTTAGCCTGATAGTGAACACCTTAAATCATAGGCATCAACAGTTGCTTAACATGTAACGATATACTAATATGTCCACCGATGAAGATTTTCCATAGACATGAAATTTCAGGGACATTTTAATTTTAAAAATATCCCATTTGTATTCTATGTTGTAGTACCTAGTATATTCCACAATTAAAGTCTAGGTCGAAGGCATGGGCCAATAACTTCCAATTTCACAGTATCACAATGTCCAAATTAACTGGTTCTTTGGTGCATTACATTTTATTCTTCATTCACATGCAGTCATGGACATAACACAGTGATAACAACTTGGTAAGTCCTATACTACAATGATTATCCCTGCTACATCTTAAGCTCATGATTATGTCCCACATGCAAAGGGTCAGTTAGTACATGTTTACTACAAAGAATATTTTCATATGAGCCTTCAAATGATATATTAAAAATAAAAAGTGCATGTACTACAACATAAAAAATGGGCTAAGGGGATCATTGTACGAAGTTTGACTAGTGCTTTCCAATTTGCTTCCTGGATAGTGCTATTAACCTCAAAAATGAAGTTATTATATTAGATATGAGATGCTTATCTATCATTCTCGACTGAATACGATTATGTGGATGATTTTTAACATGCTTATGAATATTCTAAATGCCATACATCAAAATGCTTCAGACAATTGAATAAGTCAGGTATTTAGAAGTTAGTCACCTTGCTGAAGGTGGACTAAAAATGCACCCAGGATTCTGAACATAAAACATTCCAAACTTTTTGCGAAATAAGATATCTTAAAAGACTTTATTTCTAATTTACAGGAGAGAAACTAAAAGGTCAGAATTTCGAAAATGATACACAATTGTTGCAGTGTGTAGTATCTCACATATATATTATGGCAATGACCATGATACTAATAATATCAAAAGGTAATATAAAGTCCACCAGGCTTAAATTCAACAATCAATGGTAATTTATATTTGTTACTTCTGTTAAAAAGCATGAATACAGACAAACTGATATACTGTAGGTTGCTGTATAAGGGGTTTTGAATTTTTATCTACAGAGCCATGCACAGACTTCTGTCTGACAACCTTTGAAAAGCTGCTGTATCTCTGGTAATTGTTGTCCACCTCAACCCTAATGCATGCATGATTTTGGCAACTGTTCATTCTTTGTTTCCTTAATCATCTTTATTGGTTGATAACTCTAAAAATAACTAAAACCTTTCAACGTCACACTGGACTTCAAGTATCAATTCCTTAAAATATCTGAAAAAAAGTACAGCATCTCACTCTAGAGTCTTATCATAATTTTACCACTAATTTAATTCCATTTTTGATTTTCATAGGCTTTACTTCAGTTTCACATTCTGACCTTCCAAACAAACTACTCAAATGTATATATGTCAACAGATTTTTTGTATAATGGTTGTTTGGGGTGATATAATAAGCTCTGTTTTACGCGGATATTAGAATCATCAACCAATCAAGGTGACAGCCGAGAGCTCTCGTGTGTCAACAGTCAATAAATCAACTGTATGGGATCACAAATTACCGGGTAGTTTCCATTCGTGTTCAATTCTACATCTTAGTGAAAATGAAAATCGCAATTTTTGTAAGCATTCCCAGTTAACGTAATTAGTCTACAGATGTAGATCAGATCAGTTACAATCATCTATAAGGCCAAACGTGACATGTCATAAACAAAGAATGTAGCGGCATGACGGACAAGTTCACTCCCGATTTGTTAAACGATAACTAAGTGGATCGTAAAGACATAATAGCAATACGACACAAGTATTCCTCTATATTAGACATGTGATACACATTCCTAAACACTCACCTGATATGGGTCTAGTTTTTCGTAACTTGTTCCCGTTTTTGAAAGAAAATCTGCTTAGGGACAGCCTTGCAATGTGATTACAGCAGACTACTTCATATCGAGACCGGAAATTGGAACGAGCCCCCAAACTGCTACCAACGGGTACTTGTTGTCGCACTAATGCTTGTGTTTTCTGCAGCTACAGATTCATTCAACAGCTACAACGCCCTGGTATATTACCGGTTTTATATGCTTGTTCTTTTGGTATTAAGCTACAAAGCTCAAATAACCAGTGTGAGTCTATTCTTTGATTTCTTCACATTCTGCTAAACGCAAACTTGCAATGGATGAAAAAATTATCCGATGACTGCAGTGGTCACAGATTGGTCATTCTTTGGTCAACTTTAAGCCTAATAATCTGTATAAATTTTAATTTTTATGGATTAAAAGACGATTTTTATCACAATAAGGCGTAGTACCAAAACATTATGATGTTAAGTTTACATTCATCTGTTAGAAAATCATTTCTATAAATGATGATTGATTTTTAAGGACTTCCAAGTTCAAGGCATAAAATCAAGATGGGGATTTTTGCTTCCATAAAGACATGGTTTGTGCTACATCTCTTGATGGGATATATCTTCATTTTGTCTGGATTGATTGTGAACTGTATTATGTTTTGCACCCTCATCATCTGGCCATTTAGTAAAACGATATACCGAAAAGTTAACTGTTACCTAGCATACTGGATATGGTCACGTGAGTATGATCAATAAAATATATTGTATTAGTTTTTGTAATTATTTATTGAGTAAAACTAAAAAGATGCAAAAATCATTTCAGTTAGGTGCATCTTTTCCAAATAAGCAGTTGCTTAGACGATCACATTTTTACCAAATAACAGGAAAAAACGAGTTTGTCTGTTCATTTGCCTGAAGATTTTATTGATTATTCCATTCCATTAAACATTGGTTTATTAATGTGATTCACATTGTGAAAATCGTTTATCATACACATGCAAAAAGCAATTTTAGTATGTTTGAAGTGACCTTCTTCAAAACATATATTTTTTCCTTTTCAGAATACACATTTCTGGGTCAGTGGTGGTCTGGGTCTGATATTGTCCTGAAGACAAATCCAGAGGATGTGAAATACTATGGGAAAGAGCATGCAATCATTATTTTGAACCACAAATATGATATAGACTGGTTGTTGGGATATTTTTTAGCTGAGAGACTGGGAATACTGGGTGTAAGAGTACTTTAACAGTTTTTAAGATAAACCAGCAAAAATAAGAATACTAAAATGTTCTCAAAGATAAAACAGCAAAAACTTTTTTTACACTCATACATGTTAGGAGACAAAGGGTTCCAATGATTATGTTCCTTAAATTAATTTGATTTAATTTTTTTTTTAATTCCCAGGGTTCTAAAGTATATGGCAAAGAAATGCTGAAGTTTGTCCCCATCCAAGGCTGGTCTTGGTATTTCACAGAGTCTGTCTTCCTTAAAAGAAACTGGGAACAAGACAGGAAGATCATCATTAGGGATATTAAAAACCTGGCAGAATTTCCAGTCAACTACTGGGTGACAGTGAGCAATCTGTTTAGAATCATTATGTACTGTGCCTGCAAATTACTCTCAATATTGACCTTAAAGATGGAATTTAATGAGTGTCAACTGAAACTTTTTTCCTGATATATTTTTCTTTAAATTTCCAACCCACATATATTTTCCTTTTAACATGTCACCACTTAAGTTTTTTATGTTTGATTTCTGTGAAACTTTCAACATTCATAATTGATTCCATCATTTCATATATTTTGTTTGTTAATCTTAAGTTTATTAATTTTATCCCAGTGATTCTGTTTTTTTGTTATTGCATGCACTGTAGATAAATGGTTATGTACATGTATGCGCCATGTTAGTAGCTTTTATTTGCAAACAGCATTTGAAAATGAGATTCAAAATCGTCTCACTTTTGACACGCCACCACAGACAATCCACCAATTGTGACAATTTGTTAAAGCAATGCTTGTGGATTTTGATTTTGAATATCTGTCAAATATATTAGGCTTTTTGAATTTCCTTTTTAATTGCTGCAATGACTTCAAATTTGATTTTAAATGTATGTTTACCGTTTTATAATTTTTAGACATAGTTCCATGCATTACAATGACAGTAGTGCATGGGCACTTTTAAAGACTCGATGCCAATGCTAGCATCATTTTGCTGTAGCACTGTTTTTGAGCTGATACATGATCATACCATGGATCTCATGCTTAGTACTGCAACAATGTGATATGTGGGCATGCAGAATGGGTATAGCAGTAAAGGACTGGCTGCTACTAAAACAGTGCTGACAGTGTTTGCATCTGGATTCAGGAAAACTAGTTTTATCGATTTAGACTGGCTTTAAAGACCTTAATTATGAATCAGTCATTTTAAAAAATCATTTTTCTGTAGGAGTAAACAAAATTATAAATTTTTATTAAATATGGAAATCAAAATGCAGACAATTTATTTAATAATCTTTTAAATTAATTTGATTCTTTACAGTTGAAAACATGTAACTTTGATATTTAAAATTTGCTGTGTCTTGCATCAGTATTCTGTATGCTTCTCAGGTGTAATAATTTTGACCTAGTTTTGTTAATTTATTTGTTTAATTGATGCTTAGCTTTAACTGTATGCTTCTTAAATCTAATGACTTTGAGATTGTATTTATTTATCTGTAAATCAACATTTTAGTTGGAAATGTGCTTCAAATTACAAGTTTTATCATTCTGTATAACTTTTGATGTACCTTTTCTTTAGATCCTGATGTTCTGTGAAGGGACCAGGTTCACAGAGGCCAAGCACAAAGCAAGCATGAAGGTGGCCAAAGAGAAGGGTCTGCCTGAGCTGAAACACCACCTCCTGCCCAGGACCAAGGGGTTTGTACTCACTATGCAGGGACTCAAAGGAAAAAGTAAGATGGTGCTCATCTTTTATCCCCATCTCTCAATATGTATTTCGTTTGAGTTTCAAATGTCTTTTCAGTTTTCCTAAACTACTAACATCTCATTCTCTTGAATGCTAAGAAGGCAATTTTTTGACATGTAATGCTCACTCAGTGGATTTTTCCATATTTTCCCCTAATGCTCAATGTCAACTGTACTTTTTTCATTAGACATCCCCCTGTTAAAATGTGTCCAAATGTGGAAGTGAATTGTCTGTGTGGATTGTCTGCTTTTGTTACATATTTTATGCCTCGTTATAGTTCCAGCTATTTATGATTGCACAGTGGGAATCACAAAAAGTGAAAATGAGCCAACATTCATGAATGTTGTCAATGGAAAAACATTTAAAGCTGAACTCAAAGTGAGGTAAATATCGGAAAACAGCTGAAAATATTTTAAGGTGTTTATGTCCAACATGTATATTAGGCATTAGAAAGAAAAAAGAAATCATGTATCATGTCAAAGAATTCAAAGATAAACTTAATTGGTTTGTTTATGACATTATATCTAGGGAAGGAATTAGAAATACTAGATTGTGAATTATTTAACAAATAGTGCACAGTCCTGAGGGGACTACGAAGAATTGTTTCCAGTAAGAGAAAATAAAACTCTGGCGTAAAGTCAATTGTCCACCACAGTATGAAGAAAGACAACTTAAAGTTTTTAAATAAGTACATGTCTACCGGTATCTCCCTGAAGTCATTTCCTATTTACCTTTGATGCCCTTCCCCATTGTTAACTTATCAATGTTGCAACCAACAATGCATGTGTAACAACTTAACATTGATGCAAAGTTGCATCATCCTGCAATATCTTTATTCAAACAACTGAGAAATCAGAGGGATAGAATTCTTTAACCTAGGTCAACTAATAGTCCGCAGTAATATATCACAGTCATGTCACTTACAGAACCATTGTACTTAACACAAGAATATTATTCAGAATATTTTGTGGTAACTGGCCAATCAAAGGCCTAAAATTCTACAAGAGGTATAACAATTTTTATTATTACAGGAGAATAACTCTTGAGGAAATCCCAACTGACACAGATGAAGAATGCTCAGCGTGGCTTCATAAGTTGTATCAGGAAAAGGTACAAAAAATATTTTGTGAATTCAGAACTTCATATTGACAACAAGGTCATAAGTCATGGTTATGTTTTTGCATGCATGCCTTTCATAGGTATCCCTGTCCAAAATATCTTTCATCTCCTAGCATTTAACATTTCAGCAGATTCATTTGTTTGTTGCAGGATGAGTTCTATGATGGTTTCCTGAAAAAGGGCCACTTTGATGGTGCTTTGATAGAGATCCCCAAAAGACCCTGGGACCTGTTAGTGTGGTTGTTCTGGGCAGTAACATTGGGTGTTCCTCTAATCTACTACCTGATCCAAGTGCTGTGGTCAGGGTCCATCTATGTGTCAGGTTGTGTGGTGCTGGTGATTGTCTTTGGTATGTGTTTGTATGCAAACTGAGTCACTTGTCATTAATCATTGCCATTCTTTAATCACTTTCACTATAACAGTTAGAAATTATTAATTTTAGGTTCCATAAATTATAAAAATAATTCATTCAGAACATTGGCAATAAGATGGATATTTTCACTCTAAATTTTTATTATAATATTTTTGTTTATTTTAATTTTCATTTACTTGTTTATTTTAAATTTATTTTTTAAATTATATAAGTGAATTGTGCTCTATATCAGTCTTGATATGCATACTTGAAGTGTATCTGTTTTTCATATACAAATATCTGTTCTGTTAAGGCTCTGTGATGGTGAGATGGATGATTGCAGTGACTGAAACTGAGAGGGGATCAAAATATGGGCACAGGCATGAAGAGAAAAAAGAGCAATGATGAATTACAGCTGTTTTTCTACTATAACATGATGCCGAATGCTCAGATATTTTAGTCATGTTTGAAGAGCTACTGTTCTTGTCATATACTCATTGGGTATGTGACCCAATAACCAAATATACATGAACTAAAAAAAGAAAATATTTGATGTCAGTATAGTTTATGTAGAATAAAAAGGTTCTGGCATATCTTTTTTCCTACAGCAAATACTTCAGAGATAACTTTGCCATTTTTAAATGTCAATTTGTATTGCCATAATTATTAAATATATTGTGTAGCCATTTATGGTAGGTTTTGTATGATTCCTTTATTTTTTTAAAAATAGCAATGGCATCTTTAAAATACCCCAGTGACATCCCTGCAGTTTTTGTTTCATTTGAGTAATGAATTTTTTAATGGACTTTTGGTGCCATTGGTAAGTTTTATGCTTAAGAAGTATATTTAGATGACCAATAGATCATGTAATTGATTTTTCTTTTTTAGCATAGAAAGATACAACCCTCAGTTTCAGATTCTTGTTGATGGTCTTTGCAACTGGCAGGCAACAAGTCTGCTTTTTACATTTAGTCTTTTTAAAATATTGTTTTATTAGGTTAACTATGCCAAATAATGAATTATTACTCTATAATCTGGACACCAGGTTTCTACACAAAGTAATAGGCCAAGCACCTGTGCAATAAGAATAACCTAAACCTCTGCCAAAGACTTTCTGTAGTTAGTTTGAATAAGGAATTAGATATCAACTTCCTTAGTCTGAAAAAAGTTTTCATTATCAAATGTTTGGCTATTATTTCGTTATAAGATCTGTTATCTTATGCCTAACATAGGGTGAAAAAAATACAAATTATTATTACCTGGGTCATGTATATACCTTGATTTTATTTAGAGGTGGCACTTATTACAATAATAGATTCTTTTATTTCATCAAATACAACCAAGAGGAACTATTATGCATTGTCTTTGGGTATGCAGGCCAGTTAAAAGAAAACAGTGGGATTGTCTTTTTTTTTATATAGCAGAGTGGATAAATGGACATCATTAGGTTGGTTAAAGGTCATTGTATAAGTGAGTTAAGTGGTGACATTAAAAGACTACCAAAGTGACCACAGTGTACTCTGGAGCTTGGGCTAATGAATCCAGATATACACATGTAACTGATTATTGCTTTTTATGCCTGCTGGTTTGATTAACATATTTAGTGCTAAAATTTATTTATTTAGAATGAAATTGCATGTTGCATGGAGTTAAGAAAATAATACTTGTGAGAATATATACATGTATTTATCTGGGCAGAATGGATATGTTTGGCATCTACACTGTTATCAGTAAGGGCTATCACTGTTTGGTGCTATACTTGAATGTTTACTAGCTATGCCAGATAAGTTGATATCGCCTTTGATAAATAGAAATAGAAAAATAATTTGATGGAAAAGGTAAGATGGCAATCCTACAAATTGGCACACAGAAATATATCCAGCTGCACTGTATCACATTAAATGGATCTCATCTGCTGCATTCCATGGCAATCAGATTGGACTGATATCAAATCCAATGCAAAGAAAACAAACCCCACCAATCAAACAGAGAGGGTTTTCCCTCTCCCTAAATAGAGGACTCTTGTTTTTCAAAAGTTGGTGAACCCTTAATCACCTCTGAATCCTATCCTGTGTTTTGAATACTAAGTGAATGTTTCTCTATTTTAAATGAAGAGGATATGATTATCTATGTTTAATGTGATCTCTAGGTTACTTCCAATGGCTTGCTTTGCATTGTACAGAGTTAACTAGGCTGTAAGGCTGTCATAAATCGCATAAAGAGTAAAAGCATATGTAATTGTAAACAGTTGCATACCTCATAGATACTAATGTTTATTATGTTGTCTGGTAGCAGGTGAAGCACAGCTGTGATATATGCACACTTCACAGTGGTAGCAGAGCTCAATATGTAACCTTCCTGCATTTGGTGGTCTTAGTTTTATATTTTATAAAAGTTTTGAACTAAACTTTGGTATATTTTAAAAATGTTTTTTTAGTAGAAAAGCCAGTTGGTATTTTATCAGTGCATTAACTTCCAGTGCATTTTTAACTTGACAAACATTACAGTAATGTCATTTGATTCAAAGAATTTACTGTTGTAATTGGTCTGTTCTTTCAAAAGACAGGGTAACCAGAATGTTAGTTGAATAGTTTAAGTTTACATGCCAAAACATCCGAGTTTGCAGGACCAGAATGAGAGAACATGCTAGTTATAATCAAAGGAATAATCAAGGAAACTAATGTTGATGACACCAAACATGTCAACAAAATTGATTGACAACCTATTTTTTTTTTTTGTTTTTTTTTTTGTTTTGTTTTTTTTTAGGTGGAAAGCATCCTGATCATGTGATGTTCAATTAAACCAATTCTTATGTAGGAATAAAAAAAGAGCACCCAAAGTTACTGAACACTGAAAACTCACCTCTCTACCATCGGCCTCTGCTGTTCCCAGTAAGCTGATAGTAGAGACTTGAGTCCACAGTGTCTTCTGAAACTCTTGGAGGAAAAGAGAGAGAGACAGTTCTCATTGTGATTAAAAAATAATTTACAAGTGAGTGTGTTGCATGATCTGTATATCTGTTTTTCTCCTTAAATATGATAATGGGTAGCATTTCTCAATAAAGAATTTACATTTTAACACAAAACATTATTTACAGTTACCAGTGAAGTATAGAATATCAGTTGCCTCATTTAGTACCTTGTGTCTTGCATGCCACATACATGTATGTCCACTAATAATACCTGAAATGTTACATTTAGAGCTTAACATCAAAGTTAAATAAAATGCTCAAGCTATACACAACATTCCTTTTAAAGTATATTAACTCGTGGCTGTATTAGATGCCCGAATTATGATATGAGTGGGCACATTGGTTACTTTGTATTGGTATATGCACTTCCTTTTAGTTCATGAGTGTGCGCTGATTATCATATTTGTTGTTTTAGTATTGTTTTAAATATGATAATGATAGACTAGATCAGTTTCGCAACTGCCGTTATATTTTCTTTATTGCCAAAGAGAAATGCCCAATTTATGGAATCTATTTACATTTTCTTTAGAAAAGTTTCAAGGTGAAGATGATTGTTGGTTTTCATGTCAGGGAGAGGATTATCATGTATTGAGAATTTCTTTCCAAGATGCTTTAAGTTCTAATTGGTGATTCCAGTAAAGTGAAGAAAGTGTAGTGTCATATATATATATATATATATATATATATATATATATATATATATATATATATATATATATATCCACTGTAGGCAAAGTTTCACAACAATCTGAGTGAATAATTTATGTCAGTCTAGTAGGGGCAGCACATAAGCTCATTATGTGCTGTGTACTGTAGCAGATTTAACAAAAAATGGAAGACACTTGCAAAAAGATATTTCATATGCTAAACATGTTATAGAAGTGGTGCTTCCAATTCCTAAATGTTTATGAGTGCTTCGATTTATGTACAGCGTTATAGTGGAATAAACACGAAAAGGAAAAATCAAATCTACTGCTCCAATTTTAGTTTACATTACTAATAAAACCAGAGCAAAAGTGTGAATATTTTGCATATGCGCTCAAAAAAGCATGGTGTGGGTTGTGCACGTTTAATGCTGAACGGATGAGAAATATTCTTTGCTGATCTTGTGTATTGTAGAGAATCAACTGCAGTGGTACTGAATATTTGATTTATTAGACAGGATTACCTCCCCATAACCGAGATTTAATACGGTAATAACATTCCTATCTCTATGAGTATCTTGCTTAACGAGTAAATTCACGAACAAACAATATATATATATATTATTCATCGCCCTTCAATCCTCTCTTATTCTCCGCTGTTATTAATTTTTTTTGATAAAATATAGTCTTTTCAATCGCCCAGTAACGTATAGCAGTCATTACATCCGACGCTAGCAAAATCGATTATCGTTTTACGTCTCACATTTCTCAACTGTGAAGTAAGTTTGTTAGATAATTCTTTACATAGAGTACAGCCATTCATTTGGCAGAAATGGAAATACGATTAACAAAACGTGAAATCCTGATTTGATAATTTACATACTACACTTTCTGATTTTTTAATGTACATGTAATTAGTACAAACTGTCACATTAATCGACAGGCATGATATTACATCATGAAAACATTTCAAATTATGCATTTATCGTCTTAGTTTAGGATAAATTATCAGGAATCTGCTAAATAACAGCAGGGACGGTAATAGTTATTTACAGTGAAAAGCTATCTACACGAAAATTCATGTATCACACATATACCATTAAAATGTTCTTTATTTTATTTCTTATTTTTACTATAGTAGCAATTCCATGAATTCTTTACAACTTAAACATAGTCATCCGCATCTGTTATGCCGTCAATATCAATTTTCACAGCTTTATCTTTTGATCTCCAAGCAGGTTTTCGCGTCTTGATAGGAGGAGGCTCTGGGGTAGGCTTTTTGGCTGGCTTTCCTCCGACTGAAGGCGCTCTGCGAGCTTGGGATGAATCGATTTCTGGGCTTATTCTTGTAGTAGCCATTCGAGAGCCTGGGACACTTCTGGAATCCCCTTTCATTCGTTTCAGCTCTGATTCCCTGCGTCTGTTTGGCTTGGCTTCCAGTGCACCACGGGCGACAGCTAGACTTGCTGTGCCCATTACCTTCGCCTTTGGAGCAGAAGATGGTTGCAATGGTGTGGACTTGTTTATTTTGGAAGTACCTGAAGTACTGCTTGCTACTCGACTGATCAGCCCACTTTCATCGAGTGTCTTTGTTTGGGCAGACATTCGCGGTTTTTGTAAAGAACTCTTACTTATCTCAGGCTCATCTTCCTCAGATTGTTTTATTTTCTGATCTGGCGTTCGTTTAGATTTTTGTAGATCTTCTGAAGGCACAGTATCCGACGCTACTTTAGTGGATTCTCTGAAAGTCATTTGGGTGGTAGGTTTACTTTCAATTTCGTCGTCAAATGCCATATTCAGCGTGATTTCGTCTATCAGCTCATGATCAAAATCATCGAGCTCGAACGGATTCTCGTCTGAAAATTTGTCTGTAAATCGGACGCGATCGCCGTACATTTCCACTGCTATGTTTTTAGTTTTTGTAGACTTCCACTTTGGAACAAAGCCTGCCTTGAATTCATAGTTAATAATTGGCGTGGATACTCTCTCAGGTCTCTTGCCGGCTGGTATCGGAGATACGGGCGGAGATGCAGGAGGGGAGTCCATTTTGTATCGCTTTTGTTGTGTTCGAGACTGTCTAGACTTATTTTCACTGTCTTCATCCCACGTGTTGCCAAAGATCTCGGCTATCTCATCGTCCAGAGTCAATTCAACACTTGTAACATTTCGCGTAACATCTTTATTGATTATTTCTTCGTCGTTATCATTTTCATCAAACACAGGATTGACAATTCCTTGTTTCCCCTTTTCGGTTTTCCACCGAGGACCATTCTCCTTCTTGGCAGGCGGAGGGGCTTTGGACTTGGTCCCCGTCACTTTTGACAGCAGTGCTTTTTTGTATTTCTCCGATTTCCACTTTGGGAGCTTCCCTTCCATTGCAACAGCCTTTCTCAACTCGTCTAAGCTCAAAACCACGATACCCCTTTTACGACGTTTGGATTTTTTGAAGTTTGGTGGTGGTTTTTTCAAGCAGTACGTTTCAATAAAGGAGCCTACAAGGTATACAACAGCGGCCCCGCCGTATATAAACAGAGTCAAAGGGACCATCAGGTAAATGGCTAAGTTGTCGTCTGTGTTGTAAAAATCAACAATCATGTTCCAGAATTCAATAAAACCCATTGCAGCCGCTCCTTCTGAAGAAGACGATGCCATGCTTGAATTTGACGAATTGTCAAAAGTTTGATTTAAAGATATAACAACAGTTAAGTCTGTACTGGACAAGGGTGCGGTGGAGGTTGTTGTCGTTGGAGTGGTCGTAGTTGGCGTTGTCGTAGTCGTTACTGTGGTTGTCGTAGTTGTGGGTGGTGTTGTTGTAATCACCTGTGTCGTTGTTTCGTTCCCGTCAGTCATGTTATAGTTTCCTACCGTTGTGGTCGTATTCCAATCTGTATTATTGTTAAAAGCTGTGGTCGTATTGTACGGCATGGCTGTTGTTGAATTGTCCAGCATACTCGTTGTTGAATTGTCTGGCATAGCTGTTGTGGCATTGTCTGGCATTGGTGTGGTGCCGTCGAACATCGTTGTTGAAGGGTCGTCCGTCGTGGTTTGACAGTCAACTCCTGAGAAAAGTGCAAAAAAGTTAGGATTTAGTATTTCTTGCATTATTCTTTCCCCTTTCTTCTTTGGTAAGGCTCACATGAAAATGCCTTTCTCTATCAGATCCCAATAGATGATACAGACTCTAGATAACGACTACGGGATACAAGCTATGTAAAGACCGATTTAATGTACATTGGTTCAGTTAATTTCCATTTGTGCCACATCCTTATAACCCCACTCGTGCGTCACATAGGCCTACATATACATTGGACAGAGCTAAATCTGTAGATGGATAATCTTCAGGTGTATGAGACTCACAAGTCTGATGGATGCCATAACGTTATTTTCAGGACCAAAAACAAAGTTGTAAGACGATTTTAATCATAATTCAAATAAGCTTCTAAAAAGTAATCGAATGTTCCCATTTCTGTAACCGAGTTCATGAAATCGGTATCTGCCTCAACATATAAAAGTGTTTTATACACTTACTAGTATAATAACATTGGATTGAAATAGATTGTAAAAATTGTACTGCTTTTTCTTTTTGAAAATCCTATCCAACGTATATCAAGTAATGACATAAGAACTATCGATTAATGAAAAGGATAGCACTTACCTTTTTTGCATATTAAAATGAAAATCGACACCGTGAAAACTGTAAAAGATTTTACAGAGCACCAAGTTTTACGCTTAGTGGCAGTTCGGTTCTCTTTTCCCATTTTTCTAACAGAACTTATCCAACTGTTATTTGCAAAGCGTTAAAACTTAAGGTAGAATGGCTGTATATGCCAAATTATCTCCGTTTTTGGAAGTCTTTCCATGGTGTAAATGTCAAGCAAATTGCTGACAAGGTCCCAAAGGATACTGAAATGTCAGCAACGATTCGGTCCTTTTCTCTCTGTAAGGCCTTCTTGCCCTTCCTTTTCACGCTTAACGCTAATACATCAACAGATCGATTGGCTCAGTTTTTAAGGGTGGGTGATGTTTTCGTTGTCGTTTCTCTCCAAAATATTAACCTTCTCCCAAATCCCTATTTACATCTAGTTTCTTTCTCATCGTAGGTAAATAGGACTGGTTTGGAAAAGTTGTAGCAAAATATTCTCCTACTTTTCTATGAACTGCAACTACGTTCGGGACGCCAATATATTGCGATTTCCCTATTTGTTTAAAAGTTTGAAATTCAATGACTCTATCGGAAAAGAGCGTTATGACGTATATGAACCCATTGATTCAGACAATTGGTATCAAAGGTGAATTTTTGAGCATGGTTGTCGATTTATAGGCGTCCATTGAACTCAAGTCGTTGACAGGTTTGCCTTACTTCAGATATTGATCCTGTGCAGTCAGTAACTGAATCATAAATGGACATCGTTTTAAAATTTACATTGATTAATTTAAATTACCAAAAGTGAAAATTAAAAAAAAGTAGACATTTTGGTCGGATAGGGCGGGGGGTGTAATTTGTGAAAAATCAATAAATATATCTCTATTCAATAACTACTTCATCATCATTCATATGTCCTAACGAAAAAAATTGATCGATCATGTGCTAAAAATCATAATAGCTAGTGTGGTTGCTGAACCATTTTGGCAAAAAAGAGACGCTTCGTGGAGCTCAATCTTTACAATATTATAATTCAGGCATCTTGTATCAGGTGTACTCATAATAGCTTTTGTCATGTATATATTGAGTACGAATCGGTTGGCTTTCCTTCCCGGCACTGTGAACTCTTCACTGTTTTTGACAACATTATTGATCGTCGTCATAATACAGACATGGCAAGACGACACTGTTTAATTGCAAGGATACTAAATCATTTATGCCCTGGAATCGATATACTGTTTGCGAAGTCAATAGGAAGGCCAATTAAGTGAAGTCACCAAGCCTGCTTGGATAATTTCGAAGTTCAGCGTTTACCACTCCAGAAACTATAAAGTGTTGATAATGATTTATTCACAAAAATAAGTGTTTACATATATGATTTTGACAATAAGTCCATTTATTTCACTTTCATATGTATAATTCGCACTTACTCGTCAAGGATAAAGAAACAGTGAAAAATTGACACAAATTTCACTTAAATTTTATCGCATAATGTTAATTCGCATAAATACCACCTCGTGAGCAAATGACTCATTTAAACTGAAAAAGATACTTTTTTGCCTTTTAACAGAACTACGTTTTAAAAAATACCAAGGAATATTTGAATATGCCCCAAGGTAAAATACTCCGCGATACAACTAAAAAAAGTAAGTCCAGAAATTTTGTCAATATTTCCATTTTACGGGAAAGGCTTAATCAAACATATTCGATATCACACCATCTGTTTCACTAACATGGACTACTGAATATTCATACATTCTTTTTTTCTTTTTTAATCAAGTTTGTATATTTGATAAATGTCGTATATTAATTGTTACCACAGGAAGGCAAATACATCACAGCACCAATTAAGTTACATCACAAGTACGTTTCTTCACATGGAAAGTGAGCATTGATATCGACAAAGTGTCTAATTTTTAGGGCCTGAAAAAAATGATAAAACATGCTTACAAGATATCATTGTCTATGAAAATAACTAACAAAAATTTTTCTATGTTAGATTTAAAAGATACATTCAATATAACCATTAGTTAAGACAAAGTATTCCATATACAAAATAGACTATTAACATGTCAACATGGATGAATGTCAACCGCATTTTCTCCGGTTACAGATTCTCCAATATTTTCAGATAAGAGGCTTGATTTCTCTCGTCAGACAAATGCTATTTTCTAAAACTCATTAAATGTACATAACGAAATTTGCTAAAATTGATATTTGGTCGATGTGCGCCCTTAAGAAGAAAAAAATTAAGATGCCACTTTTATCAGTTCAGAAAGCGTGGACGGAATATTCTTTAAGGCCTATAATTTAGATGTAATAAAATATTAAGCCATGTTTTGATCCCAAAGCAAGCATCAAGGCACCGGATTGCACATGGGCTAAAATCATCATTAGGCAGAGTCGTGAACCGAGTTCGCATCTTAATAAATTTATTACCTCCCCATTTTATTTAAGCTTCGCTCTCAGAACCTCTGCTTTTGGGTTTTTTGATATCGTCGAACCTCAGATCAAACCTATTGAGCATTTGCCACTGCTTCTTAGGTTTACTCTCGGGTTCTTCTTGCTGCATCTCTTTCTTGTCCTTTTCTTGCACGCGGATGGTCCGTGCGTTGCTCCCATTTGAAAGTCCCGATGCTCTTCCCCCAGCGGCGCTCTTTGCACGTGAACGCTTAGCTTCCATCCGCGTAAGCTGTGCTAGAGTCCACAGATCCATCTCCATCAGGGACTGCTTGGTATCCTTCGAACCCTTGTTAAATTCCTCCTCTGAAGGAGTTGGAGAGGTCATAGATAAAAAGGTTCTGGCGTAGGCCTTTGCGATGGAATTGGACCAACCCGGAGCGATCTTAGTTTGTTCTTCCTTGATCATATCTGGCGAGGGCGGGCTGGCGGTGTCCCCTCTCGCTATCCCCATCAGCCTCTCCCTTTCTATGGTCGCAGCGTGGTATTTTCGTAGGTATGCTTTCCGTTCCTCAGCAGTCATCATTTTCGGCTTTGCATCCTCTATCTTCTGTCGTTCTTCTACCTTTTTCTTTATCTCCTCCTCCTTCTTCGCTTTTTTTACCTGTCGTTCTACTTCTTTCTTCTGTACTATTTCTTCTTGTTTTTTGACCACTCGCTGAAATATATCCGGCTTTTTCTTCACTTTCCTCTTGGGTGGCGGAAGCCCAAGTTTCTTTGCCCGTCTGACTTTTATCTTAAAACCAGTAAGCTCAATAATTTGTCCAATAGCGTACAAAATCACAGCCCCGCCATAAACAAAAAGCATCATCGGCGCAACGAACCAGTACGCAAAATTTTGCCAAATGGCGTAAAATTCCACAACGGGACGAAACCACTCGAACCAATCCGGGAGGAATATTCGTCCGTCGCCTGCGGCCGTGTCATTGGTGGCCAGTGTCGCCAATGTGGTGGTCCAGCCCGTAAGGTTCAACATGACTGTCACGTCTTCCGTGGTGGCCATTTTGATTTTTTACAGTAACAGTCTGGACGAAGTTTTGAGAGGCGACAGATACTGCGACGAAGACAAAGAATCCCAAAAATAATCAACCGTCTGGAATGTTAATAGTTTTTACGTTAGAGAATGTGAATAGCGATTAAAGGTGAACTGTTGTACATTCAAGGTACTCAATATTAATTTAGATCAAATCAAATGTTAAGTACATTCCGACATTTGTTAAGTTCTTTTCTTCTAATTCTTCTCAATATCAATCTGAATAACCTACCTATATTTCTTTAGGTAATTAGACCGCACAAAACCATTATTAGGAACGTATTCTATGTCACACCATAATACATGTAGTACTCTCATTGTTAGGATTTACTATACTGTCTTTTTCCCATGGTGTTGAAATCGCACCACCATATTTGACAATAATCTTCTAGTCTTACAAATTACTTTTACCTTTCTAAATTTGATCACACAATCGATGGCTGGGTCAGCGCCTTTGAAAGGTCCGATTTAGCTTCAATGTCAAACGATTGATTTCCAAATCTATGGCAATAATCGAACGAGAAGAAAGCCGCTGTTTTGTGCGGTTCAGGTGCGTTACCGTCTCAACCCCTCGCAGAATGGCTCAGTATCGTGCGCAGAGGACCGCTCACGACAGCAGGTATCGATTTTCTGCTTCCCGTGTTTCATGATCGATGGCAACACAAAGACTGTGCCGTGGGGAATTGAATAAACATAGTCCGGTCATCAATTTCCTTCGCATGAACCATTTACATACATTTATTTGTTGGATATGACTGTTTGTATATAGTGTGAGTTTGTTTCAGAGAATTCGTGGCAAGGAATTGATCGTAGTGTACGATCATTTTATTCGTAGAACCAAAGCTTCCATTCTGCAAACCCATTTGAAAAAAAAAGAGCGTACCATGTTTCAAAGTATCAATGATACATAGTCTATTGTATATGCAAAAAATTCTAAAACCGTCGGGCAAAAACGATTATTTTGAAATTGGTTGTCTGGTGCTTGCGATCTTCTAAATGGTTTCAGCTGCATTTGGGTTCGGGTTCCCTGACAAATTATATCATTGAGTGGTTTTGCTTACTCTGTTTAATTTTACGATTGTGAATTATTTGCTAAGCATTATCCCCCTCTTCGCTTTTTATCCTGCAGACAATATTGCCGGTTGAATTAACCGCGAAAACAGCCGTTGACAAACTTGGAAAATGTAATTCATACTAAGGATAATCGTATTATTATATCTGCTACTCAAGTGATAAAAATGACACGGGACAACTCACGAAGTTTCATAATTTATTAACTTTTTTCTCGTTGTTTATGAATATTCATCAGGCATTCATCAACCAGCATTTCAGAGTGGTTCTTTCTGGAGAAAACGTGGACCTTTTTACCCGCTTAATTGGCCCAATTTGAGAAACGGCATGGAACATAATAAACCAATCTTTGATTTAGAGCGGATCTTTCCCAACCAAAAAATCGGTTCTTTCAATCACCCCTGCCTTTACTCAACCGTATATGGGCCTGCTCAACAGCAAGTTTCATCGAATTTTTATGGTATGTATAAATGTGCGTCGACTGCACTTGCCTGACATGTGGTGAACGATATTCTTCTCCAATAATACTGCCTGCTATATATTATTTAGCGATACAAAAATAACAAAAATTACGTATTCTTATTGATACCTGCATACATTCAATTCAATCAGCCATTTACACAAAAATATAGTCTGTGAATAAGATGATCTGATTAATATACTTTTTGGACTAGATAAACAATTGTCAGAAATTTTCATCATATTTTTGAGTATTACAACTTCTTTTTCCGCCTTCTTTACAAATTACGTATTGCTTGACATCAAAGACAATAAAAGCACGCGTGTAAACAATTCAAGAACTAAAAAGGATTCATCGGCAAAATCACTAATCACTGAAAACCACTATTATTTCCTTTTCTATAATGTCACTGGAAATTATGTACTATACAAATGACTCCTGAGGATTGTCGTCTGCTACATCAACAGCTATGTTTACCTCCCCTCCCTCTTCTTCTTTCACGGCAGCCTGTGGTACTAATTCTGCACCATCGGCTTGTTTTGGCTTTTTCTTTTTAACTTTTTTGACAACCTTTACAACCTTTTTCACCTTCTTTATTTTAGAGATTGCAGCGTCTGTAGATTCTGAGGCCGGGGCGTTTCCGCTGCTGTCACTGTTTTTAGAAATCAGAGGGGCTTTCTCATTTTCTTCATCCACTACTACAAAACTCGGAACTGCAAGCTCTTTAGATTCTTTTCCATTTTTGTCTGCTGAACTCTGTTTTTCTTTTTCCGATAACTTGCTATTGTTGTCCGTTTTATTTTCAGCTGCACTAGTGACATTTAATGGCTTTTTATGTTGGGTCTGTTCTCGCTTTTTTATGACTGTGGGTTGGTCGTAGCATTGATCTGGCACTTGAATAGGCGATAATGCACTCCTTTCTCCCTCCTCCTGACACAACTCGCTTTCTTCACCAGCAATATCAGGTGCTCCAGATTTACTCTCAGCCTCAGCCTTTAGTTTATCACTTTCAATCCTTGCCTGCTCTGCGGCCTCTTTTTCTTTTTGCAAACGGAGCTCTACGGCTGCTAACTTTTCTGCGGGAATTTCGATCAATGTTCGTTTCATAAATTTCTTCTCTGACAAAGTACGTTGATGACGCGATGTTTCCATGCACCTTTCGGATATCTGTAGAGGGCTCTCGTTTTTGCTTGTATCGACGGCGCGGCTTGTACGTCGATCTTTGCCGGCGTCTGCAAACTCCTCTTTCTTGCGATTTTGATCTTTGTAATGTAGTTTGATGATCCACCTGTATCGGTTGTCCTTGGCTTTCCTCTGGCGACGGGACATCTTGTAGCACTTTTCCGGAACTATCAGAGAGCGCGCGTTGGCGGGTACGAAGTCATCCTCGGCCTTGGTTTCCTTGTTTCGGATTTGCTGAACAGCATTCTGTACGAGTGCAAAATAGTTAAACTGAAGTTGCCAGCGTTTCTCCAGATTATCCTCTTGTTGTTTTTGAATGTTCTTTGCCTCTTCTTCTTGTGCATTTTTCATCATTTCTTCCATGGCCTGTTTTTTCTCTTGTTCGTTACCAAGCATACGGATGCGACGCCACTTATCATTTGGATTTTCTTTTTTCCTCTGCTTCTCTTTATTTTTATTCACGTTGACCAGTGTGGCAAATGATGTAATTTTGTAGGATACAACAGGTTTGTCAGAAGACTCGTTGCCTGATGACGTGGTATTTGCTCTAGACATAAGTCCTCTCAGCCTGCTTCGCAATTCCCTCTGTTCTTCCGTGCCCTCTGGTTCTTTGCCATCTGCGGCATTTTTCGCGTCTTCTTCACCCTTTTGCGCGTGTTTAAATATTAGGGATTTAAATCTCCCACCTAATGCTGGCTTCTTTGAGGTAGAGAGATCTGTCTTCTCGGCGCCTGGGTCTACTTCAACTTCTTCTGCCACCTTGCTTTTTAACATCATGTTTTTCATGTTCTTCTTTTCTTTGTTTTCCGCTTTTTGTTTTTCGTTCTCCATCTTTTTGATTTCTTCGTCCACAATTTGTACATCTGCCAGACTTATTTTTCTGCTGACGTCGGTGTTGGTGGGTGAGGCGCCAGGCTCCGTATTGGCCAGGTCTTCAGGGACAGGGGAATGGAGGGCGTGGTAGGAGGTTGTATCAACGGGCACATCACCTTTTTTGGGCTCCTTGTCGAGTTCCTCAAACTGTCTTATCAAAGCTTTCCTCTGAATGTCCAAGATCTGCTCTTCTGTTGGAGTTATGAAACCGATGTGGTACCGGCTGAGATAAGCTATGCGCTCATCCATGGTCATGCGATAAGCTCGGTTGCCGTAAAGACGCTTCCATTCTGCCTTTTTCTCCTTTATTTTATTTTGTTTTCTTTCTTCTTTTTTCTGAATGTCTTTTTTAACTTTCAATTCCTTCGCTTTTTCGAAGATATTTTTGGACCTTTTCCACTTCATGGGTAAACCCATCTTCTTCCTTTTCCTATGAAAACAAAATGTGCAATATTAATAAAGACTGGAATCTTTTTCATTTCTATATCTGAATTGAAATGAAAAATGTTATTAGAAATTGTAAAAACACTTCCTTGTAACTCCATATAATTTCCAAACTTCATATAGCACTAGGAATTACTGAATGTATTGGGGAAAATAAAGGATATTTTCGACGACACGTATATTGCATACATAGCTTACCTATATATTTTACAGGTCCGAATGCAGTTCCCTATTCCGTAGATGAGCGGTGCCACTACGCATATCAGAATGAAGAAGGGTATTACTATATAGTAATATATGTTCATTATATTTTCAAACCAGAGTTTTAAAGGTCTGAAAAATTCCGCCACTGGGTCAACCGTTGGCGACGGGGTGGTCATTTCCGTGGTCAGGTTGTAGTCCAACGTAGAGTTGGTGATGTTGTATATAGCCGTGGTTGTCATGGTGAAGCGTCAAAAATGACTGGAAATATAAAAAGATATAAAATGAAAATACTTTTTTATACTCGAGTCACACATGAATATGTTTCTATGATATATTTGACAAAAGTGACTCCATGATTATGTTCAAAGATGGCTGCCTTTGCATGTGCGTCGTTACCTTCAACAAGTGGGTAAAACTCCCGTTTTCCTTTGCTTATCGATTCATTGAAAAAGGGCACACCAGAACAAGATAAAACTAACCTTTTGCTATCTCTCAGGTACCCAAAGAATGGCTTTTGTCCCCTCTTATGCTATAATTTGCAAGTTGCTGAAAACTATCTGCATCATTTTATTTCAGTGTCAACACAGTTACCAACAAATCTGCTATTAATTCAGCCGGGTAGAAATTGATTTACGATATTGAACTTCTATATTTGCTGTGGACACTGAAGAAATCTGCATAATTTCTTTGTTTTGAATCTATAAGTAGAACAAGTACTGAAAAGAATACTCGATTGTGTGATCAATAGTACGAACATAGTTGCAAAGTTTGGTCCCACAGTAACTTAGTCATCTGTGTACCATTTGAACAACATATCGACAGCTTAACTCCCGCCAGGAGGCTACGTGTGCCCGATTGTGTATGTGTGTGTTGGAGGGAGGGGGGGGGGGGAGACCCCTGTTGTGCCGGAGTCAAGACGAATTGATCGATAAACTTGTCACTCTTATAATCATTATATTGATGAAATGAAATGGCTCTGTGCCCTATTGTTACTGTTAAAACAGCGACTCAATTATCACCCAAAGAGAAATACAATATTTTTTTTAATATGAAATATATTTTTTAGCTTATATTTGATTTCTTACCGATAAACACTCATTTTGCAGACACTCCCCATTTATGCAACCAGAGTCAAAGGATTAACCGATTTGCCATAATTAAATGAAAAAATAAAAAAACATGAACACGTCTGTCAAAATACTTTTATACAGTTCAATTTGATTCATTCACACTCATTCGCACATAACTTTTAACAATTTGAAAATTCAGAATACTGAAAAAAATATTTATGCTACATTTATTATGTGTAGCTCCAAATATATTGTTTAGTCATTTCTACAGCAAATAAATTCAGGAATCCTTGAAACCATAATGATGTTGTGAACTTCTTGTGTATCAGGGTGAATAATCCATTCTGTTATACTTTCTAGTTCACTAAATTGTTTTAATGACATTCAAGTCCATACTAGTCAGACACTGTTTTATATCAAAGATGCAATATTGAAATATAATGCACAATAATTGATGTATATAAAAAGCGAATTTTACAACTGATAAGACATGCATTAGCTTGGGTTTTAATCAAGCAAGATATTAGTTTCATGCATGTTACCCATATTAACTAGCCTACTAGGGCAACTTGATATCGGTTACTGTAGTGAATAAAGGCAATGCATCATTAATAAATACAATATCAACTTGAGAAACTTGGTATACTGCAGTGTCAGTCATTGTTTCTATGGTAATGTATTCTTCTGGTGGGCTGCCCATATAGGTAATACTGCAGTGTCAGTTACTCTCTCTATGGTAATGTATTCTTCTGGTGGGTTGCCCATATAGGTGTCGCTAGTGTCAGTCACTCTCTCTATGGTAATGTATTTTTCTGGTGGGCTGCCCATATAGGTAATACTGCAGTGTCAGTTACTCTCTCTATGGTAATTTATTCTTCTGGTGGGCTGCCCATATAGGTAATACTGCAGTGTCAGTTACTCTCTCTTATGGTAATGTATTCTTCTGGTGGGTTGCCCATATAGGTGTCGCTAGTGTCAGTCACTCTCTCTATGGTAATGTATTTTTCTGGTGGGCTGCCCATATAGGTGCTGCTGCAGTGTCACTCACTCTCTCTATGGTAATGTGCTCATCACTGTTTTCCAAAGCTCTATAGTGAGCTAGCAATTCCTGGATGGCCTGTTCTTCCATCTAAAAAAAACCCAAAATCAACTGCCTTGTATTCCTTTTAGTTTGTGTGTTGAGTATAAAAAGACAGGCACATAGTATGATGTAAATGTCTAACAGTAATTTTTGTACATAACACATTAAATGCACATTTTTCTGTAAGTTCCTGCCACACTAATCAATCACAGAAGTAAGCAAAACCATATTTGCACATGGAAAATTTGAAACCAATAACCAACTCACCTGAATGAGAGCCAGAGGTTTCTTTGTATTTTTATGCAAGGTCTCTCGCTGCTGTATTTCATCTTTCAGGATCTGACTAAAGCTGACAGTCTTGTGAAGTGGCCTGTCCTCCTCCTGGACACTGGGTTCTCCTGGCTGTTTTTTCTGCCAGGGGCTACTACTGGGGGAGGTGGGGCTGGTGGGGCTCTGGGAGGGGTGCTTGTTGGAGGTACCTCTAGAGGTAGAACTCCCAGTTAGGCCCCAGCTGTGAGATAAAATGTATAGGGATTTCTCAAAGTGCCGAGAAATATGCTATGACCAGTAATGAAGGGTGTGGTATACAGACAATAAGTACTTATGCAGAGCTCTATACCAAATATTGTATCTCATAACACCCAAAGAACATAAGTGTCTAACAAAAAATAACTACTTTATTTTCAACATTGACTATTAACACAGATAAACATTAAGGAAAGAAGTGAATATAAAATCTTCTGAATATACCTGAAAGATATATCTCCTCCGCCTCTGTCAGTTAGCACCTTGGGTTTAGCACCTTTCCCAACATTTGCATCAACACCTGAATCGGTAGATTTGGATGGGGTTCCCCGAACGTCAGCTTGCATCAGATCTCTGAAGGACGGAACAGCTGTGCTCACAGAATTCCTGCAAGATTTGCAAATGGGATCAACAAATTAGACATAGCATATACAAATATGCAATATCTGCCAATTTATACAATTTATCTAACATTATACTTCAGATTATATTAAGGTCACCTATTTCTTATAAAACAAGCCATACATACACATTTTGTTTACTCTTTCAGATCTGCTGCATCTCTGTACTAATATTAAAGATGTGATGACTGTCAAAACTTTTATAAATTCTCATAGTTATTGATGTAGACCTCACCATGGGTTGGTCAGCTGTGGTTTTTCTTTAGTAACTGATGAAGACAAATTATCCTGACCCTCAGATTCTGATGACTTCTGATGTTGCATCTGTCGCTTGCGTTCTTTCTGAGACAATTTTTTGGGAGTCTGTTTGGTTTGTCTTAAAAAAACAGTCGAAAAAAATGTTAAGCATTTAAATATGATCACAGAAAGAAGCAAATTTCAAATCAAGTTCTAAAATGGCTAAAACAATACATCTACTTTTTCTCAATGAACCCACCTGCTAAAAAATTAATAAATAAAATAAATAAATAAAAAATCTTCAATGGTTTAACATTTAAAAAGGAAAATTAAAATATTTCTCACCCAACAGCTTTAACTACACCCATCGGCTGCACTTGTTGACTTTGCAACTCCATTGCAAGGATCTGTCTCATGTTGAAGACCTCTACCTGTGAAGTGGCGCCACCTGGTGAAATGAACTGTGGTGGAGAACTTGCAGCATCAGGATGCATTTCTTGGGACTCTGCATACAGATTAATAGAATCTGATACAGACAGCTTGTTAAATTCAAATATACTTCTTTATTTGCCCTAAATATAAATTTCATGTTTTTGCATATTACACTTTATTTAAATAAGATAAAACTTGCATATCTAAAGGTATAAGGGAAGCTCTTTTTATTCCTGTTTGACTATATTTCTTATACCGTGTCATTAAACTGTACCTTTGCGAGGTGGGGACTGAAACACAGCCACATTTTCTACAGATCCTTTAGACCCCCATGCAGGTGGTGACTGAGGACCCCAAACTGCACGGGGAGCCCTTTGGAATGGAATATCCATGGGCTGACTGCTCACAGCCTGCAGATGAAATCACAACACTATACATTTCCATTAAAATGTACTTTTACAGTTCCTTCAATGTTCTACTGGTTGTGTTCCCCTAGTATTATATCATCTATTACAAGCCATGTCCAAGCCAAATGATTTTTCTCTCAAGGGTAAAAAATATTGTAATACACTATGAAGAAATACATTTAAAAAATTATAACCTTGGGTTTGGTTATCGACTCCTCTTTAGAGGGTTCCTCCTGGATAAAACTGTCATCCAAGCTGGCATCTGAACAGATAGACAACCTGGTCTCCCTTCTGTCATTCTTCTGGGACTCTTCACCTAATTAAAAACAAAGATTTCTTTGTTCTACAACCAAATTGGTCAACTTAATGTTTCACCAAATTTTATTTATGTACGAAAACACTTAAATGGACTCCTTCCTGGAGCTCAAAATAGACTTTTCTTTGATCAATTTTAATAAGTTATAAATATCACCTACCAGAACTTTTAGTCCTCGTCCTTTTCCTTTTTGTTTTATTTTTCTTTGCTGAATTCTCTTCCTTCTGAAGTTGTAAGCCATCAAGCGACCCTTCCTCCTCCAGTGCCTCCAGCTCCTCAGAGCTTGGGCCAGTAGTATACGGTGTGATCACACGGTAACACATGCTGGGAACCTAAAATATGACATCAATATTATGTCCATTTAATACACCCCTTTTTAGATACTTTATTAAGAACATGCATGGCTGTCATTTAAAACCCACATGTAGAGCATTAACATAAAGTAAAGGGACAAGGATGGAGAAAATGCTGTTTATGTTGTGGTGATGTCATTTGGTTAGAACTGCAATGACAAGAGATGTCTATTAGAAAATTTATAGATCCATCCCCTTTAATGATTATAAAGGTTACTTTAATAAAAAAAATATATATATATTTTAGTAAAGAGTACAAGTATTGATGTCATGTTTTATATCCTGACTCAAAATACATGCATTCCTGTGAAGTCATACTCACTGTTCTTCTGTAATATTTTGTGAGTTCCTCCATTGTACTTTCACTGACTACATCAAGAGATCTATAGAAGAGAATGTATTACATATTAATGGTAAATCTTCTCATCAATGACATGTATTTCAATAGAAAAGAGCATAACATTTCCAACTAAAGCTGCTCATCAGATTAATTTCCAAGAAATTTATTCTTTTGCAAAAATGTTCATTAGCTTGGTAGTTAGATTATAAATGAAAATGATCAAACACAAGCCAAAAAACTTTCATACCGTTAGCTTATGGCCAACCTGGACATAGGCCTTCATCATATTGATGTGAGCAGAGGTTGACACTCACTGACCACTAGCAGCCAGTGTTTGATAATTTTTATTAATAAAATTTATTGCTGTTTATTAAAACCTATTTTGTGGAGAAAATGTAGGAGGTCACATACCTGGCTTCCAAGATGGCAGCAATATTTAGTGTGATGAATTGTTGGCATGTTAATTTTAACTGGCTTGCATTGTACACACTAGCAAACTCCAACAATTCAGCAGCATTCTTGAGTGAGACTGAAAAGAAACACAAGGTGAAAATATTATGTTTCTCTCCACTCCCCCCTTTCCTCTAAAATGATAACAAAATTTGACATTTGAATATCAGTAAAATACTTACTGGCTTTATATAGCATGTGTTTAATAAGAAAGAGGTGTTGATTTCTAATATTATATTTTTGCAATTTGAAAGGAGAGAAACCTTACTTAATTGTGCCAGTGCAACTTCACACATCTGCCTTAGTCTGGTGATCAACAGTTGGTCAGCCACCACCAAGATGTTACATAGCAGCTCTGCGTTGTCTGTGTCTGAAATAACACGTAAAAATCATTAAATGCAGGGATAAGACTGCTCTTTATTGAAAAACCTGAAAATATGACTGGGGTCCAGGGGCCCTTCTGTATCGATCTCAAAAATGATATTTTTGGCTTCCAAAAAGTTAGGAAAATCTCATTACTGTAAATAGCATTTTGGAATTTTTCTTTTCTGAAATGAAAAACTTTTTCATCTTAAACTTGCAAGGCAACTTAATCCTAATATAAAGCATTAAATTCTCTTAAGTTAATAATAATTGTCATCATCATGAGGTTTTTGAAACAAGAATAGCACCTTTACTTTTCATCTGTGTAACTGATTTATGTACAATGACAATTCAACTATATTATAAGAAGTCATTCACCATTTAATAACGAAGTTTCTACATGAAATTCAATTGCTCACCAGAAATAATGGCAGACTCATCCGTGTAGAGGTAATCAATAATAACGCTGAGAATATCTCCCGGGACTGGCAAGGTCAGGGCTTCTGTATTGGAGGTCTGGAAATACCACATTAAATAAATCTAAAGAAAAAAATACTGGCTACTAAAAGAATCAGAGGCCATTCAAGGAATAACGATAGGAGCACACTAAATATCTTTTACATGTAACATTGTGTTTATGAAATTACTCTATGGTAATTCAGGCACTGAAAACCTGAACATGGTCTTTGCTAGACAGAAAATCAGGCAGGCAGAGAGATAAAAAGAGGTACACATATACTGTAATAGTACCATGATTCACCCACCTCCACCCATCCACTAGCCAGCATGCTATGGAAATACTCCAGTCTGGCCACCAGGATACACTTGTGTGCCTGCACAGTGTGGCTGTCGTCTGCTTTGATACACACATCGCGCAGTATGGGACTGAAAATGTTGAGTGATATTTTAAAAAATAACATTTAATTAATGGATTCTGATTCAATACAGCAGTCTGGACAGAATCTAAAACCTATGGCGTGGGCAACCAGTACAGATGACAAAATTTTAGGTTTTATATATTATGATACTAATTTCTATTAAAAATCTGTATATAAAAATGCACTTACTATTTCTTCCTGTCAAACCTGGGTCTAGGTGGTGAAAGATACTTTCCACTGGACATAATTTTTCCTCCAACATACTTCACAGCATCAAGCCTAAATAATAATAATAATAGAAAATAATATTTGATCCTCAATACATACTATGACAATTGCCAATTATTTGACAGTTTTTACATGGGCAGTGTGTCAAAAATAAGAATTTCTTTAACTCATGTAATTTCTGAGGTAATCGGGTAAATCTAAATGATAAGAATAGAGGCATACTAACTTTTTCATTAATGTATGGACTCCAAATCTTTTTGCCAACTCATGGAGCTGCTTCACTGGGTTATTACCACTTCCATCTACTGGAGGGTCTTTTTTGCCCTTTTCTTTATCTTTCCCCTTCTTCTTTTCTCTCATTTCATATGCAGATATTTTCTTTTTGGAATTTGGCACTTGTATAAACCCTGAGTTAAAGTTTGTGTCCTCAACTGCAACATTTTCTTGATCATGTGCAGTTTGCAATTGAAAACTGTTCCCTATCTTCAACAGATCACAGTCATCAGTATAAATAAACTTTAATAAATGCATAAACAATTCAAAATCAACATCTTCAATGTGAACAGTTGGTGGAACATCATTCTCTTGTTCTGAGAGAAAAATCTTTCGGAAATAATCACTTCGGCTGGCTAATATAAATTTGTGAACTGGGACTTCATTGCTACCAATCTAGAAAATAAAATAATACTAAGTAACATACTGATCAATATACAAATATCAAATTCATGTGATTGTTATGCTAACATTTAACAAGGGGACAACTTAAATTTGTTTATGCATACATTTTTTCCTTTTGTTTGAAAGTTGTTAAAATTTTCAGTTTACCTTGGACACACATTCTATACAAGGTATATCATAACACTTTAGATAAGAGCGTTACTCAAACAGTTACTGACTCGTAGAACGGCATCATGGATAAGATCACCAAGGTCTGCCTCATCTAATAATGTCTGCAAGTGCTGGCCTATATCAGAGATATCAGAGTCTGGAAGCTCTGTTAAACTGAAAAAAAAAATCACTGTAAATCTGGTTTACTGATACATATTTGAAAACAACATAACAACAAAGTCTGAAAATGTATTTAAAAAATTTGGTTGCATTATTGTTTGCTGTACATTTTATCTTTTTTATTAAATCTGCTTAAAATGTCTAAAGAAACTGAAAAGCCAATACTAACACAGAAATTATTCAAAACATCCAACATACTTAGCATTTGGTAAGTTTTGAAGCACTGAAAAGTTTCTTCCTTTTTTGTCAGCAGTAATTTGTGTGGCCCTGTGGATGTTTGGCAGTCTTTTTAATGTGACATCTTCAGTGTCGTCTTTGTCTATCAAGTCTGACAGTGATAGCATTGAAAAATCATCTAAAAGTGGGATGCTGGACTGCATGTCTGAAATAAGAAATAAAAGAAACTGTTTATCTTCTATGACTATTAAAACAATTATCAACAAATATCTGAGCCCTTATAAGTAACATTATCATTTATTGTAATCCAAATTCAATTTTAGCTACCTTTTGATATCTCTCGCTTTGAATCTTTTGCAGACACTGCCTTCTTAGCACGCTGAGAAAAAGTGCCCAGAAAAGCCTCCCCATCACTGGTAACAATGGCAATGTTGGAGGTTGTCAAGGTAACATCCACAACAGCCAATTGTCTTCCAGGAGACCAGATGCAGCGTTTCATAGTGGGACTGGAGGAACGCCACACAAACACCTAATGTATAAATAACATTTTAAAAAATTTAAACCATTTTCAACATGACTGTAAATATTTGAGCAAATGTTATACACCCAAATGTTATACACCCAAAAATCCAGTGGTCACTGGAAACTCTCTTGCATTATCAGCTTGCCTCTGTTTCAGTGGCAACTTCAAAAACAAGCTGATAATATTAGACAGTTTCTAGTCATCTCTGAAAAGTTCAAGCCCCTTATCTTGAATGACCAAGTACTTAACATATCAAATATTATGCTGGATCAGACTATAACATAAATAGGGATAATAAAACAACATTGAAATGACATTTTGCCTGGCAAATATAGTTGAAATATGTATAAAAGTCTTCTGTAATACACACCTTTTCTGATGTAGTCCTAACCATGACAACTAGTTCGTTTCCCCCTTTCTCTCTCAACATCTCTTGGGCAGTGCTGTAGTCAAGCTGACCTCCACTGACTGCCACCTGGACTATGTCCAACCACCTGAAAGAGCATTCATTGAAGACAATTATATACTGATGAATCTTTAAAAAAGTAATCCGCTTACCAGGAAGGATCGTCCCATCCCACCAGATGTTGTACAGGTCCATCTTCATTCCCTGATTACTGTAGTATGGCAGATGATGGAACTGAAAGTTTTCAATTCCCCTGAATAGGATATTAGTCAGTTTTATCAGTATGTACTTATGTCGAGAACAAACTACTAAGAGGTGGTTTATCATACATACGTGACACATAAAACATGAAGTGTTACACCATGCCTACACCATAGATGTCAGCAAAATATAAGTCAGAAACACCATTTCTCAGAAAAATGTATGTAACATCCACTCATGCTTTGCACTCATGTATATCACATACACTTCACCCACTTGTGGTGGAACGAATACATGCTTTCCAAACCTCTGTGCCAGGAATTCTGCATGTTATCATAAATAAATACATGCACTAAGATCTTTATTACAGTCACAAATATAAAATTGTACATCTCTATATTCTCTCATATTTCTAAAATCTAACATTTCATCCTTAAAGGGAATTTCAAAGAGGAATTTACCTTGAAGCTATTTTCCTGCATTGGTATTCATGTAGGGCATATATGTCTCCCTTCTTGGTGGCACACACTGTGGCTGCATCAGAACAGGCAACGTGGCTGATTACAAAGTCTTTGTGGTTCAGTGGAGACACCTGGCGTGGCTGAGAACAAATTCTATCACCTTTACTGTGACCTGGAATTTTAACAATTTTGACTTAGAATCATGAAGAGCTGTGAAAAATGAATAACATATGCCTCTTTAGATATCTGGAATCATTACTTCTAGATCTTATTATATTATTTCTACTACCATTACGTGTGTATCTGATTGTATTTGTTTGTTAATTTTTAACTTCAGAAGGACAATTTTTACAAAACCACTCAGATTCATTTTCAATAAGATATACCTAGCTGTCCAGCATTGAGACCAAATGTAAAGACAGCATCCCTGGTATAAATCACAGTGTGAAAGCGACCTGTACAGATCCCCTCTATCACTTTTCCTTTCAGCAGTTTATGGTTCATCTAGGGATTGACAATATATGTGCTTTACTAATCAATTCATTGAAAAATCAACACAGTCGAAATTATAAAGTACTGACTTAAATTTGCCATGTTTACAAGATATAGTCAGTACCACTTAAATCATTCCAGGGTATAAAAGAATGAAAATGGAAATATTTTTAAATAGGCCATACTATCTTAGTTTAAACTATATGTGGTTAGACCAATTATTTTTACCTGCTTTGGAAGAAGACTTTTATCTGGTGCTGGGTACTGTCCTAACTGATGGCTGTCATTCAGACCGCATGAATAAATAATGCCACTGAAATAAAACAGCAGAATTGGTCTGATTTTTAACACATTTCGGTCCTGTTCAAAAATAAAACAGTGTTTGACCTATGTTATTGCAGTACACAGAAATAATACTGTACCAAAGCAGTCAGACAGACACAGAATATAACATGTATCTAATTGTCATGCTTACCTTTCTGTCAACATGAGAGTGTGATCTCTGGCAGCTGCTACCAAGGAGACCACCTCAGTCTTCAGTGCCTCCACTAAGGTGGGCTGTAGACAAGTTTGTTCATGTCCCTGCCCCAGTCTGCCTCCTCTACCATGTCCACAAGTGTACGCTTGGCCCCCATCAGACAGAAACACTGTGTGGTACTTACACATCACAACCTACAGACAAAGGAAATATTTTCAACACCCCTTGCGCTAAACTAGCAATGATGTATGATCCTAATAAAAGTTTCAATTTATTCCTTACTGTTGAAAGTTTACTTAAAATTTACAAGCAGAAGCAAAGGTATTCTTTTCAACCAAAAGGAATTGTGTCACATTATTACTGCATGTGTCAGGCCCACTGCCCATGTCTAGGGTACCTGTTTGATGCTAATATTCCCTTTGTGGAATAGTTCTAGTAGCTCAGGGTTTCTTCTCTGTTCATTTCCATGACCAAGATTGAAGTTAGCATTATCTCCCCAACTGTACACATCACTGGGTTCTAATAAAACAAGAAATGTTTAGAAGTCTTCTGCAAAAACAGGACTGATCACTATTCCTTAAAATAAAAGTGACTGCTGCAATAAAATACCCCCCTGTGGTTTCCTTAAAATATATACATATATATTTTAAAATTTATAGCTTATCATATAGGAGTAAGACTCATATTAGATATCTGTTGATTTTGAAGAAAATCAATATATATTATTGTACTTAACCATTTCATTTAATGAACCGGAATAATAAAATCAGTAATGTAAAATTTACATAATAAAGGTCAACATGCAAGTTGCATGTAACCATAGGAAAATCACTGTGGGCATTCTCATCGAACAAAACCATCTGTTATTTCCCACCACATGTTCCTGACACTGACCTTTTGATGAGAACTGCACATGTGGCAGTCTGTCTTTCATGGCAAGGTCTAGAGCTGTTAGACTCTCATTATCACGGGACTGCATGGGAGAGTGGTGCTGAAAAGTTATCATACCACTATTACCAAATTTATAAAATACTTTTCACAAGTATTACCAATAAAATTAAACAAGGTATTTTTTTGTAAAAAAGTTTTCATAAATTATTTACTGTGGCTTGCATGTCATTTCCAACTCATAAAACTATGCCAAACCCTCTAATATATCTATAGGAAAACAGTAATGGTTCAGACTATACTAGTAGTTATCTGTATAGGTAAATCAAGTTATTTTACCATGATAAGTATCCTTGCTGCTGCCAGCTGACCATAGAAAATAGCTCTGTGCAGGGCAGTCCATCCAGATTCTGTGTCTTTTATAGCTTTATCTGCAGTGGTTTCTTGTAGCAACCACTCAACAACCTCCCACTTCCCACAAGAAGCTGCCATGTGCAGTACTGTTCTTCCCCATATATCTCTTGCAGTGTGGAAGTTATAACACTGATGGCAGTATGCTTTAATTTGTTGTGTGTTCCCTCTAATAACTGCTGCCAACAGTTCCAATGCATGATTATAGGAAGAGCACTTTGGTCCACATGCTAACTCAACAGGCATTGTAAAAGTTACTTTTGTACATTTAATTATTTAAATCCAATTACGAAAAAAGGGATGACACTTGATCCCTGGGATAAAACAGAATTGATAATACTTGTGCTCTCTAATACTAGTAAGTGTCCTCTCACAAAACCAAAGCACCTTTAGGCCATCCTACAAGGGAGGCCAAAAAGTGGCCATTTTTGTATGGGTTTAGGCTTCCATAATTGTCAAAATTAACCTGAATAGAGAAAAAAATACTTAGTATGAGTGTCAATGAATACAAATGATTTAAATTAATTTTCAAATTAATATGCTACCATTAGAAATACTGGGGTAGCGCTAGCAAAATTTTTGGCTTAGCCAAATTACCACTTTTTGTCAATTTGTTATCAAAATGGTTATAATTTGACTAAAACAAGGTAAATCAGGCCCTTTTTCTTTAGCCAATTTAAGTCAGTTTTAGCATTTGGCTAAATTGGTGAGTGTTAGCGCTACCCCAGAAATAGAAACTACTCTCCCACCCACCCCACTCATGCAACCCATAAAAGAAAAATGAAAGCTCTCCCGCTTCCTGTTGGGTATATTGACCATCGTGTGCAAATTTACAATATTATATATTAATAACCCTCCAGCCCCGCTGGCGTGTTTTATGAGATAAGACTAATATTACTTAACGTTATCCATATCTTTCTAATCCATCTTTCTAATTCTATTGTACATAAGCAAGATATGAGTATTAAGGGATAAGTTATTAACGCTGCAGGCGCATTGAAGACAAAAAAGGCGTGCACATGATATGACTTTGTGCAACATTAACAGCAGCGGCAATATTAAGAATTCCTGCAGTGCCCAGCTGGTGCCTTCGGAACGAGTAGAGTCGTAAATTGTCAACACAAGCCGTGAGAGGTTACATATCTTGACATCTGAAAATTATATAATGATATGAAACCGACTTCACTTACCTATCTTACTTAACAATATACTCCAAGACAAGAGATGCAGACAGAAAAGGGATAGAAATGGGCGAGACTGCAAATATTTTGACTTCCATGGAGGCGGCCATATTTGATGCGTGTCGTATAGTCTTCAACCGCTACGATTAATACAAATAGATTAGTTAGCGAAATTCTTATAGGTGCGTGATACTAAAAAATAATATTTGACACTTAGGAAAAGGAATAATTCTTAAATACTTCAACGAATGATAATAAAAAGTATAAATTAATGTCTTCAGATGGTTTGAAGACTATAAATCAAAATAGCCAATCAAATTGCAAAATTGATTTTGAAGGAAAATGGCGACCTCTTTCATGCAGGTGGGTGCCTTTGTCGTGTGGAAGCAATTAGGTCTTGCGATGGTTTTCAATTGTTGCAACCAAATTTTACGAGAGGTTTTAAAAATGTCTATGTATTGAGTTGCTTGGACGAAGTGATAAACGCATTTATCGGTTTTTACCTGTTGATCTGTCGTGTTGCTAATGTCAACTAACTCTCAGGCAGGTTATTATTATTAATGTCTTTCCGTATCATACCATTTGAGACTAACACTGTAACAGCTGCGCTAGAGGAGCTTTCTTTATTTGGAATTTACAGCAATATAGATTAAGGATAGACAGGTAGATATTGTTTCAATTTTTTTCAAAATATGAATGTAACTGAAGAATTTTAGTGTCGCGCAGTAGACGTTTTCAATTTATTTCCTTTATCTGGTCAAGATTAAAGACAATGAAGTCATTTGAAATAGGAAGTAGGAAGTGCAGAGATTGAGAGTACTATTTTTTATTGCTGAAGTCATAGTCATAGTAATTACATGACTCAAAGTGTATGATGTTATAAGAAAAGTTCATTTCAGTATCTTAGCTGTGTTTGTTTAGATTCATGTATGGATACGGTTGCTTCTGTATATTTATTGAGCATAAATGTATGCGTCAGTCAAATCACAAGTGCCCTATTGAACTTTTGCACATAACTTCCCTCAACTGCCTCAGATACAACTACCTTGATAAATATCCTTGGTTATTAAAAAGAATCTAACTGTATGGGATACATGGAGTTTAATTTCAGCCCCTTTTCTGACAATATGTCAACAAATAAATCTCCAAAAGGTGACAGAAATAATCATTTAAGTATACTTGGGTGTATTTCATTTCAGCACTCCCACAAACCCTCAATGGAACTTGAAAATGTAAAAATAAGGGCTTTAAACATAGTCTGCTGGCTTTTCTTCCAGAATACAGGATTCATGAATTTGTTGCAGGGTGTCTGACATATTCTCACTTCATTTCTTTAAAAAGAAAAACAAATAAAACAGTGTGCCCCAGCTCCAGGCTAGTTGGAATACGTAGTGACACTTAATGTTGATATATATTCAGAGCTGTTGAGTAAATCTACACTCGAGTGGTCTGACCTTCCATGCAGTATAATTAACAGCTTTCTCTACAAACCACTCTTTCAATTATTAATCATTTTCTTAACTGTCCCTCAGAGCAGAAAACAATCAACTATTTGTACTTCATGCCTTCAACGGATTGAGTCCTGCAATATGATTGCATAAGTGCAAGTAAAATCAATTTACATCCTAGATTACATAGGGACTATTGGGTAGGTTGTGCTATAACTCAGCTGTCATTTTGATCCTATAGCAGATTAGAAAGAAATGAAATTTGGTATTATTATGAAGAAAATTACAATTGTAATATCCATCATGAAACGTATAGGCTATGTGTGCCTGCATTTGTACTTTGTTCATTATTTTTTTATTATTGTTTCTTAGAAAAAATGAACGGAGCATAATTTTGTCTTTTTTGTAAGAGAAGGTATTTTTACCAGTAGTGTGAATATTTGTATTGTTGTGAACCTGGATTGAATAGTTATGTATCAAGTGAATTATTGAATAATACAGTGAGAAAATGAACAAATAGCATAGGATAAATCAATGATATTAATTGCTTTTATCATTCTTGCCACTCTCTGAAATTGTATAGAATAACCTTTTATATTTATATGAGGGCTATTTATATTTAATCTATTTCTGTGAAAAGTTCATCTCAAATAATCTTACGCAGAAAAGAAGTGACACTGGAAACATGCGAGATCAGTTAATAAGCTGAGAATTTGAGGCTTGGCTATAAAAAAAACTATATTACCACATGCTCTGTTTCACTTGGTTGCAATAAAGTCTGGCCAGTCTTATGACTTTTACTGGGGCAGGTGTCATATAGTGATCACCTGTGTTAATGGTGTTTACCTAACACCTAAAAGGTGTTGTAATTTCAATGTAATATGCTAACTGCAACATGTCACCTTGCTGCAACACACAAGGGTAATTACAGATTGATATTCCGCAAAGTAATACATCTTAAGATTATGTCTTCATAAAGGATATAAATGACCAATTACGGGTGCTATTTTTAGTCTGATGGATGAGTAATGATAAATTATAATTTCCTTCTATTAACCTCTCCATGCCATGTGGAATATATCAGAGAATACTCATATTTTGCAAAAAGGGATCCTATTCTTACTATTACATTTAGAAATAGTGATTTCTGAACACCATTTGTTTTTGCTCCTCATCTGGTAAGTCTGACTTGGAAATGGAAAATAGATGGGTTGCAATATTGAGTAAGTTTTAAATGGATGCCATGATAAACAAAGGTTTTGTTAAGAGAAGACGTCAGAGGACATTTTAAAAAATGAAAAGGTCAATCATGGCTTATGGTTGGGAGAAGAAAAAGTTATCCATTTCTAAGACAAAAGTATATATATATATATATATCTGAAATATTTTCTGTTGGCTGCTACTTGTATAACTTTACAGCCGTTCATCACCATCATCATCTCTCTGTCTGTCTGTCTGTGTGTGTGTGTGTGTGTGTGTGCGTGCGTGCGTGCGTGCGTGTGTGTGTG